ATAAATTCTAGATTTGAAGCTTTCGTGACTGCAAGGATTCATATTCTTAGGTTTTTTCGGTAAAGTCACGTAGGTAAAAAATTAAAATTAATAAAAGTAAAATGAAAATAAAACTAAATAAAATAATTTTACTTTTATTAATTTTAATTTCAAATTTTTACCTACGTGACTTTACCGAAAAAAACCTAAGAATATTCATTTCAACTTTGTATTGTTTTGTAAATAGTCATTTCTCAGTGGTGTTTTTATTCCTAACGCACATAAACCACGGGGACCACGTAGACACCCACATAAGAGACCCATCGACTCACGTAGATAACTGTAGACCTACATTATAAGGTCGGCACAGCACACGAGGGGGTGGGTGGCCAGCACCACGCCCGGCCGCCTTTGTCTCTCTTAGTGGCAATGCTTACACACTGCACCAGGTACTAATTTGAGACTGAGTAGACCTAGAGGAGGCCAATGACCGGTTCAAATAAAATCACACTGGAGTTGGTGTCTGTGGGCAGGAATCAAACTCGGGTCCGCCGGGTTCATAGCGCAGCGTGCTAACCGCCACACTGCTGCTCCCCACTAGAGAAAACACAAACACACACAAACTCTTAGTCGGCGTCTAGTTTCTCGCGGACGATATGAAGGACTCTGCGTTGCTACCAAGCACCGTAAAGCGGTTGTCGAAAAAAAACCTACTTCGAGCTCATCGCCTGACAGTTAGCGTGTTGCCAAAGTAGGCTAGCGAAACAGATGCGTATGGGCCAAACTGCAGACTTGCATTCCGTTTGAGCAAGCGGCGTGCGCGGCGAGGAATGCGGGCCACTTGTTGCCTGCAAGGCATTCTCCGGCTTGCCAGCGACACGTTTGCAGGTCGTGGAATTGTTTGGTGAAGTCAGTGGAGCCGCGAGGTGCCCTCGGGTTAACGCAGAATCCCACCTTAATGCGGAGCTCTGGTACAAACGCAACGGCAAGAAAAATAGATGTTTTTTTGGTGGACGTGGACGTTTTAGTCAATACCTGTAAGAGTAACTAGTTGAAATTTTTCATAGTTCCGGAGTATTTTTTACAGTAGAAACTCATGTTAAAAATACGGTGATGTACGGTTTAACGTTGTGGATGCCATTATCCACGATGTCATCTGCAAACGTACTCCGCTTACCCTGCAGAAGACAAGAAAGCAGATTTAAAAAGTATAATCTTATTCACCAAAAAATATGCAGATTGCTTAATTTATCATGTAATTTTACAAAGTATATCCTGGGGAAAAGGGAAAGTCAATACACACGATAAGAAGTGGTTAATTGGATACATTTTTCACGTGACTCCTCTTATCCATCAAACATTGCAGATAATAGGAAGCTCTTCTGCCAAACAGCATGGGGATAAGAGCAGATAATGACGAATTATAGGAAAACGAGGATGCAGATACAAGTGTAGTGAGCGACTTCTGAGACACGTCGAGTAGAAGGCTTCTTATTTATTCAGAACACACTGGGCGAGACATTGTGTGACGCAGCTACACATAGCCGATCCTAACACGTAGCCTCATTTCCGGCTTCGCTACACAAGCTGTTCGACCAGCGCAGCGACGGCGACGGAGAGAATCTTCCATAAGATCAGCCACGTGGTCGGAGACGAAGAGATGACAACGAGCAGCGACGCAACGAGGACCCAGGACCTGTAACAGCCACGAACCTCTGGTTCGGTGCCCCTTATATCTGTCCCGGTGTGGCCAAGCTCCACTTATGGCCACGCCCGCTTTCCAGAACCTTCGAGCCGGTTCCCGGAGCTTCTCGACTGACTCTGCCTTTCACCTTCACCCCAGATACGCCCCCCTTATAATAAGGCATTACGTAATGCAGCCATGACCGTAATTACCACTCCCGGCCAACAGGTGTCACCCTGTCATTACACAAGTAATAGGAATAATGGTAAAATGGGTCAGAGATAGCCCTAGTTACACTGTATATATTATATTGTAGCAATGAAGCGGGGGGGGGGGGAACATCAACACATTATTTCTGATATATTCCTGCAAACGATGGCAATATGTTCAGGAGATAAATACCAATGCCGAGGTCTGCTAGCCACGAGACGGCTTCAGGAGAGAGTGCGTGGAGTTTTGCTGTTCCACCATGGAAGGACTGCAGACTACAGTGGTTTATCGTGGCCCATAGTTTGGATCGCGTGGCCACAGTCGCCCGACTGTGGCTTGCGTCTTCAATTTTCGCGTTCATGAAGGAGATGTTGTACATCGGACTGTTGATGTGCTGATGCATTTAAGCTAGGGCATGTAACGTTTTCAACTCTGGTTATATGATTTGAAGTTACTGAATATTTTACGTGCTCAGAATGAATACTAAGAGATGCTCCTCGCGCGTAAGCTCATCCATTAAAGGAGATATTTGGACCTGATATTTGGATATGCAGCATCGGCTATGAAACAAGCGGCCACTGTACATTTTCGGAATTTTCCACGTGAGCACAATGCACTCAAAGTTCGCAGAGGCGTTCACCTGTGTATACATTGCACACTGTTTGCTGTAGTAGCTGAACGATGCCATCTAGTGGATAGATAATACTTTCAGAGGCGTCTTTTTCATCTCGAGTAATAGAGTTTTACAAGCCACAGCGTAACTTCAGAAAAAAAGCAGCGATATTTCAAAATGACGAAAAATTTGTGGTGGTGTAAAGACACGTAGAAAATATGACAATGCACCATCAAGAGGCGTTGTTGTTTTTGTTCTGATTTTTGCATACCTTTGAAATGTATACAATTATTAATATTGAGTTGCAATCATTGCAATGTATTACCATAAATATGCATGCTATATGTCAGTTGAATATACATATCGTAGTCAATTTATTAACTACACATTTCCTAGCATCACAAATAACAAAATATGTTACTATAATGTTTAGCTATTGGCAGCTCTACAGAATTACTCTGCAATTTCAAAATACTTTTTGCAAAAATATATTTTATTTTTACACGATTATTTTCACCCTGAATTCGTTATATTTTCTTTAAACGCATGTTGCTTTGTGACCCCCATTTTAAGTGCTTTCCACCACAGAGAGTACAAAAAAGTAAAGAGCAGTGAGTGCCTAGAAATGTGTTCCAATTGGCCACTATCAGAGGAAGGACTCACAGTTGGTTTCCTTCTGTCCATTGTGGCTGAGATCAATATTTTTTGTCATCGTTACAGCTGGCATATATATATTTTCCCGTTTTTAGATTATTTTGGTCCAATTGCATTTCTTTGGAGGCGACTCAGTGGAACTACAAAATGAGGTGTTGCTATTAAATCTGGGAGATAGGCAACGTATTTTAAAGCATGATTTCCACCACAAAGATGGCATTGTAAATGAGTGTATACAGTGAGTGACTTGTAATACATTTAGATTTGCGATTTTTGCTCCTGCCGGCGACACATTCTCTCCTCCAATTATCCAGCCACCCTTGTCCACTCGTCATCTGGCGGTGTAGAAATTCAAAGAGTTTTCTATAAATATGCGCCATAAGAGGTTAGGTTAATAGTGTAGAGAAGACGTCGCTGGGACGTTGATCGTGGAAGAGATGATTGGGTGAAGTGTGCAGCAATTTGTATCACGTGATCATCACCAGCCACGATCTATCTACTGCTGGATAATTGCCTCTTCAGGCTATTGAAATCCCTTAGTTCAGTGGTTCTTAACCTTTACTGCAGCCTTGAAGCCCTTTATTTCTCAATCGTTTAAACATGTATAATGTTCATATTCTTAGGTTTTTTCGGTAAAGTCACGTAAGTAAAAAAATTTTATTGAAAATAATAAAAGTAATAAAAGGAAAATTAAATAAAAATCACGACGTTTCGGATGCAACACAAGCCTCCGTCTAGAATATATAATGTTAATATATACATAGGGTTTGATGAAACAAAGTAGTTGTACTAAGATGCCGGTGCTTAATTTGTGTTTCAATAATTCACCTTCTAAAAAAAAATCGTACCGTGTCTCGGACCCCCAGAAAGGACCATCTCGCACCTCCAAGTGGCACGTCCACCCCAGGTTAAGAACCACTGCCTTAGTTGCTCGCGATTCCACAGCACATTGAGTTTCTCGCGCTCTTGGTCGTGGTGTCTGTTGTTAATCTCAACCAACTGGCAAACCACGACGCCGTCCATACTGAAGACGCAACCGTACACAGACGGGTCCTGCAGCGCTTGAGCCAGCAGTGGCCACGACCGAGAAACTGCGGGGACTGCATCTTCACCTTTATCCGTGTCACTTTTTAAAATCGCGTCTTAAAACTCGCCTATTTGTACTATGTGCTTTCCCTGTAACCTAAGATGGAAAAAAATACGACTTTGTTGTCTGATTGGATTACTCTGCAATTATTGTTATTGGCTTTTATCGTAGTTATTCATATTAATGGAATTTCGAGAGTGGTCATTAACATTATTATCAGCTTCCTATTTCCCTTAGATTCATCGATATTTGTGAGTGTAGCTTTATCTTTACGTACAGCGCCATGAGATACTTCAATATGAAAGGCGCTTTATAAAATAGAGGTTATTATTATCATAATTACCTTCGCTGTCAGAGACCAATCCCGTGCCCATCAGGCCGACCAATAATAATCTTAGGTTTTTTCGGTAAAGTCACGTAAGTAAAAAATAAAATTAAAAGTTAATAAAAGTAATAATGGAAATAAAATAAAATAATATAATAAAATAATATAATAAAGTAAAATAATAAATCACGACGTTTCGGAGGCAACACAAGGTCTCCGTCATCAGGTGGGACAGTCACAGCTAAAATTACTGCATCAAGTGAGGAAAACTCCAAAAGACCAGCCCTTAAATACAAGTTAATAATGATTCACAGTTAACGCACGTGTTTTACAACCTGGAGACATTTTCCTGGACAAAGGGGGGGTGGGGAGGTGGGTGGAATTCTCCTTCGGTGAGTTGCTTTTACGTCCACCCGCGCCGATGCTAAACCGCGCTTGTGTGTCGCAGGTACGACTACCAGGAGATGCTACACAACTCCACGTTCTGCCTGGTGCCACGTGGTCGACGCTTGGGCTCCTTTCGTTTCCTCGAGGCGCTGCAGGTAGAAACCCGCCAGCGCGTGCCGTGCGTCTCTCTCTCTCTCTCGTCCGAAAGGTTTCCATGTTGTTAATTGTTTTTTTACCCTTCTATCTGGCAACTAAACTGACACTTTTTTTTACAAGGAGTCATGTTTGCATAGACCACAATACCTACGGTCGGAATGCAAACAAAAAACATAACTCTGATAATGTGCACTGTCCTTGAAGTTATGTTTTTTGTTTGCATTATGACTGCAGGTATTGTGGTCTATGTAAACATGACTCCTTGTAAAAAATGTGTCAGTTTTGTTGCCAGATAGAAGGGTAAAAAAACAATTATTAGGTTTCCATGTTGTTAATTGGTTTTTTACCCTTCTATCTGACAACAAAACTGACGCCTTTTTTACAAGGAGTCATGTTTGCATAGACCACAATACCTGCAGCCATAATAAAAAAAAAAACATAACTCTGAAAATGTATGCACTGTCCTGGAAGTTGATTGGTCCACACCCGAGACAGCTTTCCTTAGAGCCTAGTCTCACATGGGTTGGACCAGATGACGCCAAAAGGCGCACAGCTCTATGTTTTACACCCGTTGTGTTGTTCAGCGTGATGTTCGACGTTTCGCCCCCCAGGACACAGCTTCCAGGACCTTCGGCAACCTTGCGGAACTGCAAGGTTGGCGAAGGCCCGGGCGTGTGGAGGCAAACGTCAGAACTCGGTGGCCGGAGAGTTGCCATGCAGACCCTTCCGTTGGACTCGATGTTAAAGGTTCTAGATTTGAAGCTTTCGTGACTGCAAGGATTCATATTCTTATGTTTTTTCGGTGAAGTCACGTAGGTAAAAAATTTAAATTAATAAAAGTAAAATAAAAATTAAATAAAAATCACAACGTTTCGGAGGCAACACAAGCTTCCGTCTTCAGGTGGAACCGTCACAGCACGCTTGCTGTATCAAGTGAGAGAGATTCCAAGAAAACAGTCCTTGTGTATATACTGGTTGAGGGTGGGAGGAGCCAAGGTAGGCCCTGGATATTATTATTGTGAGGTTCGGTGCGGCTGAAGCACGCTGTTAGGAATGAGCCTTTTTTGTGTAAACTAGGTGCGGATGATGTAAAGGATTCGATTTGAAAGCAGACCGATTGGGTACATTTAATTATTATTGTCAAACTTGTTTGCCGAGGAAAGCCTCCCTGTGTCTCAAGGCATCTTCAGGAGGGTCCTGCAAAGTACGGGGCAATGTGGAGCTCTGCAATCCAATGTGATTGATTTGCAGGGAATTTTTCAGCATTCGGATGTTTTGCCAATTAGCAGTTGCATTGTATGGTGGATTTTTTTGCTATGGAAGGAAAGCAGAAACTCGTGCAGAACAGGGGAAGAGAATTTTGCAACACTCCACACACAAAGGTGTCCGTGATTGGAATCGAACCGGGGCCCTTCTAGCTGTCATGCACGCATTATGACTGTGCTACCCTGCCACCCAATTGTAATATAAACAAGCTTGGCATTTCTGCTCGGGAATTTTAATAGAGACTTTTTTTTCTTCCATTTGGCACCTATTGTTATTACTTATACAGCCCTTTATCAATGCAACGCTGGATGAATGCCTCGCCATGCCATGTCTGTCATAGGGGATTGTTTCACCAACCTTCATCACGCTGGTAGGTGTGTGTTGGTTAAGTATGGTGTGGGGCCTGCTTCAGATGCCACTCGCCACTGATGTTGTCCGTGACCAGGAATTTAACTCAGATCGTCAGACTCATAGCGAGGTGTTCTAACCACTGCACCACTGCTCCGCTCCCAGTGCACAGATCAATTTACATGCAGCTATATAACCATAACTCTAGGTAAGTGAGCCGTTTTTCCAGTCCAAAAATGTTTTTTACAGGTTCATTAATATATTATAAAAAATTACATGTTTCTTTGCTGGCCATGCCCACTGCCGTGTTAGTTTCGAAAACCTAGCCATGCCAAAAATAGGCTGGTCCAGCACTGATTGCATTTCTGCACTTAGCGGAGAGAAAATGTATGAAATAAATCTTAAATACACAAAACAAAAAAGCGAATTATTGATTTTCACAGTTTTTTTTCATTGTTTCCAATGGACTGGTAAATAAAACCATTTGGCATGGAAGGGAGGCTTTGTGCATTGTGGGAGTTCCTGGGCAAAAGCACACGTCTTCTTGGTTCTTTCGGTAAAGTCACGTAGAAGGGAAGTAATAAAATAATAATAAGTATAACCCGTAAAAACAAAGTTTTTCACTATAAATCCTTTATATGCGAGGCGGCTAGAGTCCTCTCGTCCTCTGGCTTGAGATGGCTGCCACCTATGGGTCAGATTATTGCATTGCACCATTAAGCAATTGGTAATTAAATATAATATTTTTGTCCTAAAAAGTGTAACATTTTGGAAACGAACATTAATTGTCACGCACAACGAGTCTGTGTGGAAAATTTCAGCTTGATTGGATCACGGGAAGTGGGTTAAAAAACGACTGAAAGATTTGCACGGTCGTAAGCAAGCAAGCAAGCACGCAAGTGAACTTAATATAAATGATTTAAAAATAAAACATAATCAAATAATTCTCACGACGTTTCGTCTACAACGCAAGCAGCCGTCTTCAGGTGAAGAATGAGACACTGCCAAGCTTGGAGCTTATATATAAGCTGGGTTGGAGGTGGAAGAAGAGCGCCTTAACAAAAGAATGCGCATATCAATAAAATAATTCTCACGGCGTTTCGGCCACAACGCAAGTATCCGTCCTCAGGCGGAGAACAGGTCTGTCTTATTTTATTATGTTTTATTTTTATTATTTTATTACTTCCCTTCTACGTGACTTTACCGAAAGAACCAAGAAGATGAATCCCTGCAGTCACGAAAGCTTTAAATCGAAATTTAACAGCACACGTATTACGATAATTGGTTTTTTACCCTTCTATCTGGCAACAAAACTGACGCCTTTTTACAAGGAGTCATGTTTGCATAGACCGCAATACCTGCAGTCATAATACAAACAAAAGACATAACTCTGATAATGTGCACTGTCCTTGAAGTTGATTGGTCCACACCCGTGACAGCTTTCCTTAGAGCCTAGTCTCACATGGGTTGGACCAGACGACACCAAAAGGTGCACACGTATTACTTTTCAGAACTAGCAAGCACATGACTGCGAAATAGAGCCCTACCATGTAGTTCTTTGACCATATTCTTACATTTATATTTTATTCAAGTCTGTTATTTTTCAGTTTGCAAATAATGTTTGAAATGTACTTTCATTCATCATCCCATTTAATAACCTTGTAAATTATTTGTGTTCTGATTTGAATGCGATTATCTACAGTAACTGCCAATTGTGAGTTGTTTTTTAGTGTTTTTCTCGTGATTAATTCCTGTGACTTCCTTACTTAACATGTAATAAAATGTGACCTAATAAAACGGGTGCCTAAAGTTTAATATGAATATGTCTTGTTCTAAATAAACACCCCCCCCCTCCCAATGCGTATTGATTAATTAACTTCTTACTATCAAAATATTTTTTTAAATCCGTAACTTAATTAGGTCAAAGTAATTGGGATTGCTTTGACCTGCGTTAAGACATTCCAGTAATTAAAACCTGCTGAGGATTTATACAAACTTAAATTAAAAACACACCAACAATTAATGAATGTCAATGTTTTACACCCTCATTTAGAAATTAAACTTTTATATGTTTTAAATTTTATCCCATTTTTCTAGATATACTTTTGAAAAAAAAGTGCAGTCTCCTCAGCAAAAAAATTAGCAAGTCAACACAGTTTAATACAAGCCTCATTGTCACAAGCCAAGATATACAGATGCGATTAAAATATTTTTTTATCAGGCATGCATATGAATACGCCACATCATGTTTTGTGTTTACGCTAAAAATGCATCTTTTATTAAAACATTGTTTTCGTTTAATCAATCCCGTTATTGTTGTATTGCTTATTTACACATTTTTTTTGTACGAACAGCAATTACATCATTGCAAGTTTACTTGGGAAAAGTCTCGTGTATTCATCGTGTTTTCCTGAAAAGGACATTTTTTAGGGTGCCTTAAGCGGTATACTAATGTGTTAGTGCAATGTGCAGGCTGCAGGCACGTGGCACGTGTAATTCAATGCAGAATATTTGCAGTAAGGGATTTTTTTTTTACCCAGAATAGCTGGCTTTATAGTTGTCCTGGGCTAAAGCAGTGCAAGCACGCAAGCGTTCCTTGCTTCCTTCCAAGGCTGGCTCTAGCTTCAGTTGTGACGCCCTCCATTGCCTTTCTCTCCTGCCCCTTGAACAATACTTGCCTCTGTGCACGGGGTCACCAAATGCCAAGCCCAGACATGACGTCAGTGCGTTGGGGTACGGAATCACAAAGCACATCGTCGGCCTTTAGAAGTGACACACACACACAAAACCCTGCTGCCTCCGAACACTTGTGGACGTTATGTATTCCGCAAATCTCCATGCCCCCGGAAATCTGTTTGGAGCCAAACCCGATGCCAGCATGACCACCTTGAATAATTCTATGCTTGCATTTTTTTAATTATGGTCTTCATGCTGCCAAACACCTGCGCTTCTAGCCCTCGTTGTTGGTTTTGGGTCTCGAACGTACGTACATTAATTGTTATTTGAAAGGCAATTTGGCCAATAATTTCAGACCACATTTTACCACGCATTTTAAATTGTTTTTACCTCACACTTTTGTTTTTTTTCCACTCATTGATTTTTTTTTCTCCCCCCCACAGGTCTATTAATTTTTCAAACAAATTGTGCAATATTTTATTTTATGTGTTTCTCCATTGGCTTTTACCTATGTACCAGTAGAGTAACACGGATGGTGTAATGGTTACCGCACGGGACTTGCAAATCCAGAGGTCGCCGATTGCATTCCATATCTCGGCACGGCAGTTGAAGCAATGAGCAAGGTTTTTAAAACCGGCAGTGCCTCTGTCCACCCAGCAGTGCTAATGAGTGCATGCTACAGTGAATCGATGGGAAGGTCACGTGTGGTAGAGGTGGAGTGTTGGCACTCACACCTGTTTCAAGGTGTCTAGCCAGCGTGGAAGAGAAGGCCAATGAAACAATTCCTCTCGACCCATACTTTCCGAACCCCAATCTACTTCCTGCTGGGCAGCTTTGCGTTTCCACCTTTGGTGGCTAGGAGATGTTAACTACCTTGCCTGGTATACAGGAGGTCGTGGGTTTGATCCTGACCCTGATGCCTGCAGTATAGTTCGAGTTTGCACGTACTCCCTGTAGTCTTTTTTCTCTGGGTCCTCTAGTTGTTTTCCCTTCACGTAAAAAAAAAAACATCTGCTGAGAGTATTTGTCTGCTATAAATATCCACGTGATAAGCCACTTTGTTGAATTATTATTTGTGGCCAGGTCGTTTCTGAAAAAGAGCGAAATAGCTCATTGGGCCTTACCTGGTGAAATAAATTTTAAAAAGTACGAACAAAATCCAGCATTTTCTTCCTTAACCATGGCCACAATGATTTGTTCTCTTCTGTGTCAGGCTGCATGTGTTCCAGTGCTCCTTAGCAATGGCTGGGAGCTTCCCTTCTCCGAGGTGATCGACTGGAGCAAGTCCGTCATTCGCGGGGAGGAGAGGCTGCTTCTTCAAGTATGTTTGCAAGTGCACGTGAACGAGCGGCATAACTTTCCACCACTTTTCTGCTTGACCGCTCCCAAGAGCATTCTAGCCACAGCTTGTAACCCTGCAGATTAATGAGGCACCGCTGCAGGCTTAAGGCAGGACTTTGATTCCGACAGGCTGGGAAAAGCTATTACGAAATGATTGGTGTTTGAAAGAGGAAGCAGTTCACTGGTCCAGTAATTTGCAGTTCTGTCTGATGTGTTCTTTGTTCTTTGTGATGCAATGATACATCAGTATTTTTTTCATTTTGTGAAATAAAATACATGAAGAAAAAAAAACTGGGATTGTTCACCAAAGCGTGCATGCAACTGCATATCTCTTTCATATAGCCTGATCCATCCTCCCTTAAGATACCTGGAACATAGGTGTGGGCAGTTTCATTTTATATAAGGTCACTTCATGAAAACAAATGCCTCTTAAGTTTACTTCTGCTGCAGAAAAGAATGCGACATTAGGCAGAGCGCACGCGTGTAACCCACGTGACTCAAAGCAACACAAAATGTATGAATGCAGCAGCAGCAACAAAAAAATCAAACAAACACAAATAAACAAAGATCTCTCATATAGCCTACATAGATTTGTTTTTTGCAAATACTGTTAGAAACCACCTATTAAGGCATGAGGCATATCTAGCACCATGCAGAGCCACCTTTGTCTCCCCATTAAAGTTTATACATCATAAAGGTTCTACATCATGCCAGCTAAGGCTCTCTTCCCCCTCCAACCCAGCTTAAATATACGCTCCAAGCCTGGGGTGTTTCATTCAGACGCTGTCTTCTCGACAGACCTGTTCTTCACCTGAGGATGGTTGCTTGCGTTGTGGCCGAAACGTCGTGAGAATTATATTATAATGTTTTATTTTTATTATTTTATTATTTTATTATTTCCATTCTACGTGACTTTACCGAAAGAACCAAGCAGATGAATCCCTGCAGTCACGAAAGCTTTAAATCGAAATCATACCAGCTACTCAATTAAGGCTAGATCGTCTTGGGAAAGACCCAAGACTCTTTCACATATCGCTCGCCACTCACGTCAGCCCTGACCAGGAATCAAATTGATGGCGCCGTGTTCACAGTGCGGCCTGCTAACCATTCTCGATCACTCTTTTCCACCCCGCAAAGCCCCCGCCATACACACACACACGCACGTATATTTTTCCCCAAAATTATATATCCCCAGAAAAATATGAAAGGTATACACAGAAGGTGAGGTTATGTCTAAGTGTGCACCCATTGTAGGTTGGCACGAGTGGCATTGATTTCTCTTCGGTAACGTCACGTAGAATGGAAATAATAAAATACAAATAAAACATAATGAAATAATTCTCACGACGTTTCGGCCACAACGCAAGCAGCCGTCTTAAGGTGAAGAACAGGTCTGTCGATAAGACAGAGTCGACAGACCTGTTCTTCACCTGAGGACGGCTGCTTGCGTTGTGGCCGAAACGTCGCGAGAATTATTTAATTATGTTTTATTTTTATTATTTTATTATTTCCATTCTACGTGACTTTACTGAAAGAACCAAGAAGATGAATCCCTGCAGTCACGAAAGCTTTCAATCGGCATTGATATCGTTAAGCGCCTGGTGTTCGCTGCTCGCGTGAAAACGCAGACGGGCCACGGCGCGCGGTCATCTCGTCGTGGCCACAGAGGACGCATGGCCAAGTGCGGCCTGTGCATCGTTGAAGCAGGAATGGTGGAAGGGAGAGCCCCCTCCCCCACATTTTATTCCGATACAGCTGATCGCAGACTTATCGTGGGTCAAAAAAGCACGACGATCCTGTCTGCTGGATCATCCTCACCAAACGGATCTCCCAGGAGGAGCAGCCGGCTAGGATTTGCCAGGCTCGGTGGCTCCTAGGCCTCGAGGCAGCCACAATATGGCAGGAGGGCCCGTAAGCTCGTGTAATCCGTCGAAGTAAATTGGATCCAATGCCAAGCGCCGCCTGAAGTGCACTGGTGGCAGAAGGCAGTCGAGACCTCCTGAGGCCAAGTGTGGCCTTAGAAATGGTGATTACCAACTCCGCATTTTTACATTTTAAACAAATGCACTGTGCTAATTCTAGATTTGAAGCTTTCGTGACTGCAAGGATTCATATTCTTAGGTTTTTCAGTAAAGTCACGTAGGTGAAAATTTAAAATTAATAAAAGTAAAATAAAAATAAAATAAAAATCACGACGTTTCGGAGGCAACACAAGCTTCCGTCTTCAGGTGGAACCGTCACAGCACGATTGCTGTTTCAAATGCACTGTGCTGCATTCAAATGAAGTGGGTTTTGGCACGTTACGCTACCAATTGGAATGGAATACTTTTAATGGAATGTGTGTTTTGGTATTGTTTGGGTGGTGCACAATCCTGTGTAATTATCAGGAACACTCTTCCGTTGCACACATATGGCCCTCGATGAACGTTCATGTCAAACATTTAAGCTGGAGTTTGTATGTTTGTAACTTGGAGAATCCTATCCATATCAGCATCAATAACATCATTGGCGGACACTACAACTTACGTACCACCACGGAGGTTTTTTTTGTGGTTCCTGCTGCAAGCCCCTCCGGTGTGTGTGTGTTTTTTTTGGGTTGCGCACTGCGTGTTGTTCGGCCCGATGTCCGACGTCGCGCTCCGCGTGCTGGTAAATGGAAGCCCCCAGTGCGCGGGGCAAAACGTCGGACATCGCGGGTACAGCTCGAAAACACATCGCAGAGATGCACAGCTGCACGCAAGCCGTGTAACGTACACCGATTGCTCTCGTTAACTGAATCACATACAACATTTACACGGCATGGTGCCAAGCGCACATCATATATGATTAAAACATCTGTTTGTCCTAAAATCCCCTTCCCTACCTAGATCCCATCGGTCGTTAGATCAATTGACCATGACAAGATTTTGGCGCTCAGGCAGCAAACCCAGATGCTGTGGGAGGCTTACTTCTCTTCCGTTGAGAGGATAGTGCAGACCACACTTGAGGTAAGATCCATGAAGCGCACCGCCGCATTTCCCACCTGCTTTTTGAAGTTGCAAAAAATGTGAGCTTCTCCATTGTTCAGAGAAATCGACTTGAAAAGGATGAAAACACATCACAGGATATCGTTATTTGCCACCAGCGAAAGGCGTTTTTGCGTTTACTTGAAGTTCATTAAACATGAACTGTATTAACTGTGCGACACATACTCTATATTTGCTTGATTATGGTTTATAATAATTGTGTACATTAAACTTGAAATACATTTTCCCTTTGTAGCTCAAGCTACACGCCTGTGAAATAATAGTTTATTGCGTTGAAATGACGGATACGGTAATTTAACGAATACAAATTATGAAACTAGTATTGTTATAAACGACTCGCAGTGACGCTGGGCTTAAAATATTGATTCGTGCAGTTCCTCGGGCAAGTTGTACATCATGTGGTGTGGTCCGGCGCAGAAAATAGCAAGTTTATAATTCCGCGCAGCCCTTTTCATGGTGAACGTTTTACAATGCCACTTGCAAAAAAAAAATGTTTTTGCAGATAATTCAAGACCGGATATTTTCACACATAGCCAGAAATAAAATGCTGTGGAACCAATCGCCTGGTGGACTGTACGCTCTGCCACAGTATTCCACGGATTGCGCTGATTTCCCATTTTATTACGCTACTTTGGGTAAGTGTTGTGCAACTTTAAGGTCTCTTAATTAATTCCGACCGTAAATGAAAGCAGTTAAAAATGCAGAAAAGTTAACCAGATTTTATGTCCTGTTCCTTAGCAGACAGCAAAAAAAAATCAGCAAATGCCAGTGATTTTCAGGAAATATATGTCCACAGTAAAAGTTGCAACATTCGAGGAAGCAGTCAAGGTTATACGATCAGTTTTTAATGCACGCGTGTGTTGTTGAAAGTGCCTTAAAGGTGTTTAGTTTTTGTGCAGAGAGAAACCGCTACATTTTAATTGCCTGCTGATGTGTGTAATTCATAACAAATCTAAATCTGGGATACTTTCAATATCCATCATAAAAAATTATTGGTCAAGAATATCACAATAACGATATTTGTTTAAATAACAAAAAATATCACGATGAGATGGATATTTGTAAAACAATAAAAAGCATTGGTTAGCTTCCTTCATTTTAGAAGTCTTCAATGTCGAGCAGAGATGCATGAGGATGTACCAACCAAATTTGAGGACCCTCAGTGAGACAAGCACTATGTATGTATGCATTTGGAAGTTATTTCACACCACACCTCGCCAACTGTGCCCATCGGACGTGTGGGGGAAAGGACAACAAACTAAACAAACAAAATCAGTTCTAAAGAAATTAGTTTTCAATCCAGATTTAGAAGTGCACAGCTCCAGTGTCGTCCTAATCTAAGAAAGAAACGTCACCATTTCCGGCATTTAGCGGCCAATTGAGTTCCATTGCACGTAACAGCAGAGTCTGAAGAGGAGCAAGGTTTTTCTGCTTGCGGGGTTTTTATTTTGGAGGTTGGGGGGGGCAAGGGAACGCTCTTTCAAATATTTGCTTACTTTGGCACTTCTTGGCCGGATTCCTACAATCCCATAGCCGCGAGGCATGATCTTGTCACAATGTCAAACGGAGTTCGGTCTGCCGATTTAGCACCAGAGTTTACGCACTTCCACTGAATCGCAAGTGGTGCCTCCAAAATAAATCACGAGTCTGGTTGGCAGCGTGGCTAGCACTGACATGCACCGTGTCATGGAAATGATTTCAGATGTGTGCAGTCACTTATGGATATTTCTATTTAGGTTTATAAGCTACCCGGTGGAATGTTTGTGAGGTTTTTTTTTTGAGTGGACAGTGAGTTTAAAAATGTTCGACGTTAACAGAGCTTTGGACGAGCATGTGGTGATTACGATGCTGATAAAAAAAGATGTAACAATAACAACACTGGTCACACTTTTTCTGGCATAAGGTATTCCAACGGTTTTTAAGGTAAATTTGGGGTGCTGATTCCAAATCTGGCATCAGTTTTTGTCTATCACATCAGGTTTTTGAGATATCAAATATTGTATTTTCAATAAAAACTGCAGAAGAAAAATATTAAATAAATGTGGATATCTACATAAAATGATATTATAAACACACTATCCTAAAAATACAGCACCATATTTTAACACTAAAGCAGTCACTGACTCGCAACAACTTGCAATCATAAGTGACAGAATTAATTTCGGGTAAAATCAATGAAAATGGGGTATGCCGATAGCATAAAAATGAGATGTGATAGAGCAAATCTGAGATCAGATTTGGAATCGGCACCCTGAAATTAGTCTAAAACAGCTGCAAAAGTCCAGGCCAGAAAATTCATTTTTGTTGACCAGTGCAATTGAGATGTTGATGATGTTTTTTTTTATTTTTTCAGGGATCAAGCCTTTGGAGCAGTTCACAGCCGTTATTTATGTCGTTTCCCCACTAATCTCCCAGTCCCAGCCTATCATCAAACTCATACTCGCTGTTGCAAAATCCAAGTACTGTTCACAAGTAAGTCTGATTCTACAATAATCTGTGGAATGTGCCCAGGAACAAGCCATATACAGTATACATAAATATAATTTCCATATAAAGTATTATATTCTTGGGTTTTTCGGTAAAGTCACGTGCGTAAAAAAAAAAAATTAATAAGAAGTAAAATAAAAATAAAATAAAAATCACGACGTTTCGGAGGCAACACAAGCCTCCGAAACGTCGTGATTTTCATTTTATTTTTATTTTACTTTTTATTAATTTAAATTAAAAAAATTTACCTACGTGACTTTACCGAAAAAACCTAAGAATATGAATCCTTGCAGTCATGAAAACTTCAAATCTAGAATATAAAGTATTACTTTAATAAGAATGATTATATTGAAGATTATCACCGTATAAGTACTACCCTTTTGTCAATCCACTTCTGGATAAGGGCCTCTCCATGCAACGCAGATGGATGGAGTTTCTTTAAATATATTTTACCCAGATGGTCATAGCCGGTTGGTGGAGGTGGAGAGCATAGATGTGGGAGCATAGTACTGTACAGCAATCTCAATTTTTCTGCACTACCCTCTGCTGCCCACACTGTTGTCCCACAGCAGCCTATAACACCTATTTTTATTCAATGCCAATGGTCACCCATCGAAACACAATCCAGGCACAAGCCTTCTTAGCTTCTGAGCTATAATGGTGTCGGGCACATTCCGTGTGATTTTTTTTCCACGAGAAATGTTGACTAATATACAATTAATTTGTGAGTCAAACTCAGGAATGTTGCGAACTTGGCGTGGGTGAGAGTGGGCTGAGAAAATAAAACGTCCACTCCCATTATGCCTAAATTGTCTTATAATGTGTAAATATGGATAACTTGTAATGGTCTGCCAAGTGCAGAAAGGAAATGAAATAAGAACAATCATAACATTGTTATGGGAATGATAATTACTACTAAAAATAGTCCCGCGGACAGCTAAACAGCAATCACTTGTAAAAAAAAAAGTGATGTCTTCACATTTTAAAGGCGCGCATAAAAAAATGTCCTTATAATTGATTATATTCATGCAAAATATACTTTAAAGCATAGTGCCTGTCAGCAAGAAGGGTCTGGGTTCTATTCCTGACTCGAACACCTATCTGTTCAGAGTTCATATGTTCTCCCCCTTTTCTGTGTGGGTTTCCTCTGGGTTCTCCAGTTTTCTCCCATCGCTAAAACACGCACACACACACAGTGCAACTGCTATTGGCCAAACATCCAATTGCTGAAAAATTACACAAAATTACTCAACAAAAACTAACACCAAACTTTTTTTTTTACAAACGAACTAAACATTTTTTTTATTTTACCAGATAAGATCCACTGAGCTATACAGCTTTTTTCAGAAGTCACCTGACCACAAATGACAGCTCAACGAAGTGAATTATCACGCGGAAATGTATAGCAGCCACAAATACCCTAAACACATGTTGCTAAATGTTGAGGGAAAAACCGGAGGACCTGGAGAAAAATCCACGTGACCACGAGGAGAACACGCAAAATACAAACAGGCGCCAGGGTCTGGATCAAAGCCACAACCTAATGTGTACCAGGCGAGGTGGTTAACATCTCGCCACTGTGGTGCCCCACGAATTACATTTTGCAACATTGTCCCCCCCCGCAATTGCATAAACTTGACAGGACTCTCCCGAAAGAGAGCGATGAGGCTTTTCCTGGCTAACCTAACGTAGTAAATGATGTCTCCCCAATGTCATTCCTTCTTGTCCTCAGATTGTGATTCTGTGGAACTGTGACAAGCCCATGCCAGCAAGAAACAAGTTGCCAGACACCACAGTGCCTCTAATAATGATTGAGGGAGAGAACAAGGTGAGGGCACCATGGCAAAGGATGATGATCTAACGCTCGTGACAGGAGCGGACTGCTTTGTCCGGCGGTACAATGGGGTGCCACTGTTAAGGGTGCCCTGACGTTGGGGTTATTGAACGTGACAGTCGGTAAACGTAAAGGACCGGTGGCATGAAACTAATAACGTCTAAACAGCACTCGGGGGGCCAGGTTGTGCTCACTGAGGCAAAGGTGATATCATCTTGTGAATGTGTTGCGTCGGAATAGGATGAGTGATAGGGGCAAAAAAATGCCATCGTTATTAACCGAACGAAAATAGCACTTTAGCACTTTTTTTTTTATTCCAGAATGCGGCGATCCGTTTCATATTTGCATGCTGTATATTTTAACGTTTCGAATCCATTGAATCAGATATTTGTAAAATAGAATAATATATATGGCGATATTAAGTACCGCTTACACGTATGAAGTGGATGCTTACACAATTCTATGCATTGTTAAAAGAACAACGTGAATAATAAAGAAAACAACCCTGCATTCAGTTAATGTTTTTCCAAAGCATACATTTCGTCTCACGTCTTATACAGATGATTAAGAACGTAATCATAAAATGCAAATAGACTAAAAATGGCCAGTGCATTAAAACCGGCCTGTCTCGCTATTTCTTATCTGCAGGTTGCACATTTTCTTGGCTTCCAAATGCTTTTCACTAACATTCCAGTTGTCTGATAAACACTCATTTTCGTTCTCATTATCATCATCATCATCGTCGTGTCTTCACTGGGTGGTTCAGACTTTGCTGTTTTTCCCGGGATTTTTCTGTTGCATGTAGTCACTGTAAGATGTTTCTTGTTCATGTTTTTATTTTGTTGCGGTTGCACCCGAGTCAAGAGCAGCATGGCTCACAGGGTTATACCTAATACATGAAACAACTGAAACAGGATTGCGATATCAAGCGACCTACAACATGAGCAAGTTCCAGGTTGCGTTCCTCCCCGCTCCCCGCGAGGCTCCAGCTAATATACAACCGCAGTTTAGAAAGATTAAATCTGCCCAATTGATCTCCAGTGCATGATAGACTTGAATGGAGAGTACGGAAGACACTTTCCACTTAACCTGTTATCTTATTTGGCTATTGGGGAAACCATTCATATTCTTGTTCATTGTGTGTGCTTATGAAGATGTTTGACTGCGAGCACAGCAATTATTACAGCAACATAACTTTTTTCATCGTGTTTTTCCTTACCTCCGTACCGTCCCATTAATTCGTGTACTCGATTGGAGCGGTCTCATTCTGCTTCTTTTGACGTCATTCAGACCGTGGCATTGTCAGGGTAACAAAATGTTTTTATCTTCGTCCCTGCCGTCTGACGTTGGCTGGGCAGGTGATGAGCAGCCGGTTTCTACCCCTGGACGTCATTCAGACTGATGCCGTTTTGGGTCTCGATGAAGACACGGTCCTCTCCACAAATGAGGCAAGTCCACCGTTCGCACACACACACACACAGTTATCCGGGGAGAGAACAACAACAAACACGCGGACGGGTTAATGAGCGGTCTCGATATAAATTTCGGGGCGTGCGTACGACCGCACCTCGCCACGTTGCCATTCATATTACAAGCGGGCGTTGTTGTCGAATAAGGCTCGCGATTTTGCAACGGCAACAAAATGTCAATGTCTAAACTCGTTTGCTGAAATACAAATAATCGAACGCCAGAAATGATCTAGATTTGAAGCTTTCGTGACTGCAAGGATTCATTTTCTTAGGTTTTTTTTCGGTAAAGTCACGAAAGCTTCAAATCTATGAAAAAATATTATTTTTATTTTATTTTACTTTTAATAATTTTAATTTTTTACCTACGTGACTTTACCGAAAAAAACCTAAGAATAGAAATTATCTAATTTAATACACCGCTGACACAGGAGCTGCACAATGCGCAACTATCAAAATAAATTGCCACCTCCACCGCGAACAAATATTGTTCATAGCTGTTTATCCTTAGCACAAGCACCGATACGTATTCTTGCAACGTGTTTAAGCAACAGCAAACAACGGATTCTGTATTCACACACAAATCGCAACAAGAGCAGGGCTGTCAAGAAACGCATCTGACATCTGTTAACGGTCCGGCTTCCTGATCACGGTGGCCTCCAACAAGTCAGTTGCGTCTGCAACGAACCGTTTGGTGTTTGTGCAAGAGGTGCGTAATCACGGAGACGCCTCGCGCGGAGTTGGCGACGCCTCGGGTAGAAATTACACCCCCGTCGCTGCGCGCAGGTGGACTTCTCCTTCACGGTGTGGCAGAGCTTTCCCGAGCGGATCGTTGGCTACCCGGCTCGCAGCCACTTCTGGGACAGCAACAAGGGGCGGTGGAGCTACACTTCTAAATGGACCAACGATTACTCCATGGTTCTCACCGGGGCTGCGTTTTACCACAGGTGAAAACACTTTCTCACCGTTGGAACCTCATTTGCCAGTAAAAAAATATGATTATTGGTTTTTTACCCTTCTATCTGGCAACAAAACTGACACCTTTTTTTACAAGGAGTCATGTTTGCATAGACCGCAATACCTGCAGTCATAATGCAAGCAAAAAACACAACTCTGATAATGTGCACTGTCCTTGAAGTTGATTGGTCCACACCCGAGACAGCTTTCCTTAGAGCCTAGTCTCACATGGGTTGGACCAGATGACGCCAAAAGGCACACAACTCAAAGACAATGCACCATCAGAGTATGAGAGCTCGGGGTAAGAATTTACACCATTGGAACCTCATTTGCCAGTAAAAAATATGATAATTGTTTTTTACCCTTCTATCTGGTTGTGTGCCTTTTGGCGTCATCTGGTCCAACCCATGTGAGACTAGGCTCTAAGGAAAGCTGTCTCGGGTGTGGACCAATCAACTTCAAGGACAGTGCATACATTATCAGAGTTATGTTTTTTGTTTGCATTATGACTGCAGGTATTGTGGTCTATGTAAACATGACTTCTTGTAAAAAAGGTCAGTTTTGTTGCCAGATAGAAGGGTAAAAAAACAATTATAACAATTTCACCGTCACCTTCCCTCATCAGCAGCAGCAGCAGCCATTGCCTATCCGCTGCTGAATAAATGTGTCCACGTTGCCGTCGTTTTCGGGCAATGCCATGCCACTCCATCTCACTATCGCAATCGAACCGATCTCGTCACCCCCATCTCTGCGGTGGTCGTTTTCCCATGGCGCGTTCTCTCCTTTGGCTGCCATTTCTTCACTTACTTACCTTGTGATGTGTCCTACCCCGAGGCTATTTGCTTTCCTGAACGGTCAACACGATGCCTCTGATTTGCATTTGTTTACTGATCCATGTCCTCCTCCTCCTGTCTCTCGGCGTGGTTTCAAGGACGCATTTCTCTGTGCTTCTTTGCACACTTTTCCAATGCTTAATCCCTTCTGACTTTCCAAGCCACGTCTGAAAGCCTTGCAGATAACTGTTACAGGACTTTTAAGTTCTACGTAGGAGGCATTTGACTAATCACCCACCCCTACATAAATTCTATGAATTGCAACGATTATGAGTCACAGTTCAAGAATGAATTCCATTTTTACAATGCCATTAGTATTGTTTTCTAAATTTTGTCTGTGAGACTTTTTTTTTTGCATAACTATAAGCACTACCCTCTGCTCTAACTGTTGTGGTTTTACTCTCCGACACACCGGTGTGCTGAACTAGTAACGAATTGGCACGTTTTGTTTACCTGACAAACCTAATCAATTGGCTGTGTCGGGTGGTGGCAGCGGATTTAACGACACATTTATATTCACGCAATCTCACCCAAAAACCTCTTATGGATTATATTGGTCACTGAAAGTCTCCTGCTATGTGTTGAACTGAGGTGTAGCGTTCATAGTGCAGCAGACGTGTTAAGCTAAAACGAGTGAGCCAGCATCTCTGACAACGTTGGTTCCAATGCCTGGGCTAAAGGGAATGTACGAGGCACAATAGAACACGTTATATTTTCAGTCTCAACGAATTGAAAAATTATCACATGGAGCGGAATGACCGTTTCAGCCCGGTTGCCAACAACTGAACGGAATATATAGATTGTTGTTGCTGGCGAGGGCATTACATAACAGACACATGGAAAACACCGTGCGATTAAAAGCTTATCCGGTCACGTAATCCCTTAAGCAATAGTCTTGAGGCCAAATGAAGAAAGATCCAGACGAAATGAAATTATTTTGTTCAGTTTAGCCACAAGTAAGTCTACTGCTGAGATGCCCAGCTGGTGTCGTTTGGTGGTTTGTTCTCAAACCAAGGGGCAAAGGTAAATGTAAGTATTTTTTTAAAAATAATAAGCTTGTTTACATATTTAATCCATTCAAATCTAAAGAGAAACGATACATTGGGCACCTAGGTTTCGGCAAGGCATAAAGACAAATCTTTTGCCCCTTTTAGACTGCACTCCCTCCCCCCCCCCACACAGCCACCGAAAGGGTGGACAACGATCCAATGTTATTTTGTAAAAGTTAAAGAAGGAAACTTGTAAACGAATGTGTTTCTACAGTCATGTTCAAGATTTCACAGACATCCAAATTCACTATTCCATTGACTATCGTGACCTTGGTCAAATTCCTAGCCATTCCCCCCCCCCCCCCCCCCCCCCCCCGCAAGTGCTGAACATCTTAGCAGGGTGTAACACATTTATTATTATTTGTTTCAGGTACTATCATTATCTGTACACATATCACCTTCCCGAGAGCTTGAAGGCAATGGTGGACCAAATGGCAAACTGCGAAGACATCCTCATGAACTTTCTGGTGTCGGCTGTGACTAAGCTTCCACCCATCAAGGTCACTCAGAAGAAGCAGTACAAAGAGACAATGATGCAGCAGCAGGTGAGTTGGTGGTTAGTTTGTTGCCCCCCCCCCCCCGCACACATCCGATGAGCACGGTTGGCTGCGTACGGTACGAGAGAAGTTCAACGTGCACACGCGCACAAAGTGCGAAAAGGGCAGAAGGAATTATACTGATAGGAACAACCTGGTTCCACCAGCCCACAGGGGATTATTGTGTCGTCCGTCCGTCCGTCGTGCATCCAAAAATGGGAGGATTGAGGCTGGGTGGAGAGGAGAGGGTGGGGAGGGGCTGAGTGGGGGGAGAGAGGGTGGGGAGGGGCTGAGTGGGGGGAGGGTGGGTGGGGAGGGGCTGGGTGGGGAGGGTGGGGAGGGGCTGGGTGGAGAGGGTGGGGCTGGGTGGGGAGCGGCTGGTCACCCCGTGGTGCCCTTATAAAACTCAACGTTTAACCTACTCACGCCGGCTTGTGCCCGCCCTCACAGTCGGCCATATTTGCGGAATACACCACGCCGCCGTTGACCCTGGCCATTGACCGAGCAACCCAACGTTCCTACCAGCTCCCTCCACAGGAATGTGTTAAGGTCGCACTCATTGCACACAAAGTTATTTCAACAATGCACCACGATGCCAAGCTGATCTCGTCCAGGGACGTAAACCATCACACAAACTCCGGTCATCTTCGTAGCGGATTTTGGCGAGCCATCGAACAAACACGGTCACTGCATCTGCATCGCGCGCTTTCAGATGTGCTTCTGCGGCCGTCTGGAACGCTCTTCCTTCCGATATTAGGAAGCCACTGGAGCCATGCACTTTTAAATCTAGATTGAAAACTCGTTTCTGTAGAACTGCTTTTTGTGGTTAGTTTGTTATCCTTCCTCCGCACCTACGATTAGCACGGTTGGCTATGCACAGTGTTAAAGAAGGTGAACACACACACATACATACTACAAAACAATAATGGGGTTTACTGGACTCCGCCATAACACTTGTGGCCATCCAAGCATTACCCAGGCTCCACCCTGCTAAGCTTGTGAGATTTGACAAGATTAGGCGCATCCTGAGCTGTAGGCATGATTGAAAATGTAGTGTGAAAAGTTTGCGAGTCACAAGTTCAGATGACTGCTCATTCAGTTTGTCTGCAGCTTGTCCCTATCTGTGCATGCAGAACTGAGGAGTATTTCATATTCTACGGTTCTTTCGGTAAAGTCACGTAGATAGAAAAAAGATAACAATAAAATAATGAAAAGAAGGTGAATACAAATATCACGACGTTTCGATTGCAACACAAGCGGTCGTCGAGTATTTGTTTTCTGCCGAAGCAGTGCAATATCTTACAGAAGCAGTGCGAAAGAAGTTTAACACATTCCTGCGGAGGGAGCTGGTAGGAACGTTGGGTTGCTCGGTCAATGGCCAGGGTCAACGGCGGCGTAGTGTATTCCGCAAATATGCCCGACTGTGAGGGCGGGCACAAGCCGGCGTGAGTAGGTTAAACGTTGAGTTTTATAAGGGCACCACAGGGTGACCAGCCCCTCCCCTCCCCACCCAGCCCCACCCCTCCCACCCCCCACCCAGCCCCACCCTCCCCACCCTCTACACCCAGCCCCTCCCCACCCTCCTCTCCCCACCCAGCCCCTCCCTGCACGACGGACGGACGGACACAATAATCCCCTGTGGGCTGGTGCAACCAGGAGGTTCCTACCAGTAACATTCATACATACATACAAAGAAGAATCGGCAAAGAGGAACGTTCCGAGGACTCCACTAGGAATGCGGAGGGCATGCAGGGGAGCTTTTTGTCTACTCCGTTGGTGGTGTAATTGAATGTGTGTTCCTATGGAGCACAACTGTGAGGTTTTAATCTTATTTTGAATTAATGTTGTCTTTCTTTTCACACATTAAAGATGATGATTAACATGTCAAACAAAAGTACTTTTGAATGCACACAAGATAATGTGCTTTTCCTCAAGTTGTTTTTGTTTCTCAGAATCGCTTTTAGTTGTTGGCGAAACGGAATTGAAATGTCTAAGTGGGGTAAAGTTATGTCAAAAACGATCGCAAAGGGGGTATAATTGACTTCACATTTCTTTGCCTAGGTTATAATTTACTTGAATAACATGTGTTGTGTTCGATATTGCCTAGAATTCATTGTGTTAACCTGTTATTGTTTGCAGAACATTTCTATACACATCAACATACACATTTCCGTTTCATGTATCTTTATAATATATTTACAAATTCGTTTTAAAGGGAATAATTACATCATTACCTTCAAATAACTACGGGGAATCATTGCTATAATTAGAATTAATATTTGAAAAATATACAACACTGCCATCTGCATTCATTGCTGTTGTGAATAGTATGTTTGGTGTTGTCCCATCAACTACTTCAACTACTTTATATTGGCTGCAGAATCACACTCTTCCACAACGTACCAGGACCTTTGAGCCATAGAAAATGTTGTCATATTTCGATTCAGGAGGCTGTAGGGTTGAAATGGTTAGCAAAACGGACTTGCAATCTATAGGTTGCCTGTTTGATCTCCAACTGGGGTTAAGTAAAACTAAATTGGGCATATGTCTTGAATTCTCCCATTCCCTCCATCCAGCAGTATTAATGGGTATACCACAGGTGGTCAATTATATCGAATGTGGTGGGATAAAGTGTGGGTATTTCCATTTATTTCAATTTATTTCTATTATCATATGTCCAGTGGGGATGGGTAGGCCAAACTCCCTCTCAGAGGAGCTCTCTTGGCCTCTATAGCGGGGGCACTTACACCACCGGTAGATTGAACAAGCAATTGCAGGGCTGCACCTTTAACTCATATTTTAATTCGGTCAAATTCCAAAAATCCAAAATCAAATTTCTTCGTAGACCTATATATTTAGTAACACAAAGTTAAATACAATTCTCCCACATTTGGAAAGCTAAAATTGAAAATGTGGGTTTTCAGATGTTTCTCCTTACACATATATGTCACAAATCTATTCTCTCTAGCCTTTATACAACATGATGAAAACCTACATCAGTCACTGCATCATTCATGACAAGCTACACGCATTAGACATGATGCCATAACAACATTACTCACGTGTCTAAAAACGAACGGTTTGCCAAGATTCACAGGGCATTAATTGCGTCCACTTTGTTTTCACTCATTAGCTGGCTGAAGGATCTGCCCTGAGGGCTGAGTTGTGACAGAAACTCTCAAAGACTTCTCCCTGCCCAGCTGCCCACCTATTTAACAAAACAAAACAAAACCAACCCAGCCTCGCCATTGTCTTAGCCAACAGGGACTTTGTACGATCCATCTAGCCCAGGATTCGGCAACCTGCAGCTCCGGAGCGGAAATGCAGTTCTTCAAGGACCGCTTCTTGCGTTCTTATTTTAAGGACCCACCATCTCGTATTCACATCGCATTGTGGCTCTTGAAATATTGAGTGTTTTTTTTTTAAATACCTAATTCGAACAAAAATGTTATTTTGGTTGCCGACCCCCCCCCCCCACCCCCGATCGAGACGAACACATGTCCTGAGGCAATGTTTAAAATGTTGAAAGTATTAAAATTCCATATGCGCACACTTGCAATATGCCACTTACATAACCGGGCAGCTTTGAACCAATAACAATGGAAACTGCTGCGCTCACGGGGACGCTGGCGTGGTGGAATGGTCGTCTCACTCGACTTGCAATCCGGAGAGAGGTCGTGGGTTTGACCTTTCGGCATCGCGGTGCAAGTGGGCACACTGGGTTAGTCGATCGGAAGGTCACGTGCTGTATGGGCATTGCCACCTCTTCCAAGACATCTGGCCAATGCAAAAGAGTAGGCCAAATATTCGCTCTACGAGAGCAAGAGACAGCGAATTGCACGGCTGCGCCTTTTAGCTTTTGATGTGACGCAATAGATGTTGATTTATGCCGAATTTGTCGTGATGTTCTTTAATTTCCGGTCTACCGTGAAAAATACACTTTTGGTCCCATTGAGCTCTACCTGAATATAAAGGGATTACTACATGTGTGAATTTAAAGCCCCCTACTTTCTAAACATTGAAATTACTACTGATCATTTGGGTGACGAATGACTGATTGACTGATCATTGTGAGGAAGCTGAAACTAATCAAAAATATAGTCGAGGCTATGCTTATTAACTGGAAAATCCAAAAATTGGCCCACTAGAATGTACGGCACAACTTTTAATTGGTTTTACTTCTAGGGCAGGAGTCAGCCTACAGTCTTGTGCTAAACACCTAAAAGTGGACGATCCAGATCATCGGTGAACCTTGCTACTCACTTGCCTTAAGAGAATGATGCTAAAACCAATAAAAAGCAGGCAAAGCTCATTCCTGGTTCAGAGCAGAGTATTAACATCACCCTCCCTATATCAATGCCATCGAAAGTGTAATGTGTTACAAATTATATGTCTGTGCTTCGATATCTGTGAAGAATACTTAAGTTTTTTTATATCATTTCCCTGTCATTGTCTCTCGCCCCAATTAATTACAACCGTGCTCTAAAAAAAAAACCCGTATTAACTCACGAATTCCACCTTCACGAGATTGTTGCTGGTCAACTTGGCGTTTTGGCCCTGCGTGCTTGTGCTCAGCAACCCCCTTGTGACAGCTATCGTGCTGTGACTGTTCCACCTGAAGACGGAAGCTTGTGTTGCCTCCGAAACGTCGTGATTTTTATTACATTTTTATTTTTTATTTAACTTTTATTAATTTTTATTTTTTACCTACGTGACTTTACCGAAAAACCCAAGAATATGAACCCCTTGTGACTTATTTATTCTTGTTACGTATAAATATACTCAAATAACATTGCAATCGCCCAACAGGATTCAAGATGTTCTGGCGCGAAACACGCACCGTTACTTCGAGTGCGCGCATTGAGGGTGAGACTTAGCAATCCTCGTGCTGTGTGCATTTCCTGACCACCACCACCCTCTCCCCCATGTCACTCGCAGGGCTCAAAGACGTCTCGCTGGGCAGACCCCGACCACTTTGCACAGCGGCAGACCTGCATGAACACCTTTGCCGCGTGGTTCGTGCACATGCCACTCATCCGCTCGCAGATGCGCTTAGACCCTGTGCTCTTCAAGGACCAGGTGTCCATCCTGCGTAAGAAATACCGTGACATTGAGCGGCTCTAAGTGACTAAGATCTGTACCGTGTAACATCCGCGGCTCAGCAGGATGCCCATGAAGCAGAGCCCAACCGCTTACCGGGGCTCTTTCCTGCTGAAATAAATACACATCTATCTAAATCTATGTAGTGGCAAAGAGGGGAGAAAGGAGGGGGGGGGGGGCAAAGAGAAGAAAACTAAAAGTAAATGAAGATCGAAAGGGATGCAGAAAATGAGAAGAGGCGATGAAGGAGGGTCAGAGAGAGGTGATCGCAGGGTGACGTTTTCGCAATTTGCAGGAATCGGTCAACTACTCGCCGGTGACGTTCAAAGCAAGTTGAGGAGGTTCCCATGCGCATGCTCAAGTACTGAAAGTAAAATACTAAGACCTGAGGGTCATTCTCAAAGAAACAGAGAGAAATGACTTTGAACTCAATTCAGTTAATCCATAAATGCCAGAAATGCTTTGATATCTATAGTTTAACATAATGGCATTTTCTAATACGGTGTTAGACAAAGAAAATCCAGTGCATCATACAGTAATGTCAAAGCCTTAAACATCAATACGGTAATGATCATGTTGTTAGCATGAGTGAACTATTGTTTATGTTTCAGCACTGTCTGAGGGTACCTAAACAATGTGTTGATTGACTTTACCTGTTTACTTAATTCCAGACCTTTTTTTCCCCCCATTTAATTGTTCCGTCTTCTTAGGCATCTTATTGTACGAATATTACTTGATCACGTAAAATCTATATGAAGAGCGGCTGATTGAGCGTTCGTTAGCAGGTATACGATGCATGTGGTGCACATGGAACTGCGAACGGGGGAGACTCGGTCCTGAATGCAGGATTATTGCAATTGTTAAGGCACTGTGGCCTGTATAAAACATTTTAAATGTTTTCAATGTGCACTGTTGTTTTCAATTTAAAGCATCGACATATTCTTTTTAAAATTTATTTCAGTGCATTTGTCAATCGACGTGGCTCTGTATTCATTAAAAAACAACTTTTTTTTTTACTCTTATCTCATATTACAAACTGATTTTAAGCCGAGGCCTCTTGTAGCATCCTTCAAAAGGGGCCCCACGCCAAACCCATTTCCTGGAGGGAGATGAAAACGGTAACACTCGTTTCATGTTTTCGCATTTAGGAAATAAATTAAGTGTTTGTGAATGCCTCCCACAGAGCAGCAGACAAATGAAAAAAAAAAAGCCACCAACTTAACAAGTGCAATGAATGTTTGTGCAAAAGTATAAACACGATGTGAAGTTTAGTTTGCTTTGTAAAAGTACATTCGGTTGTGGAACGATTTATATTGTAGAAGTATCTCTTCAGAAACTGTATAACTACAGGCGTTCATTATTCACGTATTTATTAGTTCTCATTTACATGTCCATAATGCAAAGCATCAACACGCGGCAGTTTGAAACATATTATTGATTTGTTTATGGAACCATTAAAAGAAATCCGCGTCGTCGACGGACATGGATTTCTGGTTTACGTTTTTATTATTCACATCGATTTTTATGGCTTTCATTAAATCGGAATCATTAAGGTGTGCCCAGTGTCATCAAATTACCCTTTCAAAACGTATTGTTAAACTCGAGATTAATAGGCTCATTTTAGGTCATCAGATATGCTAGATGCAGAATGCCGAATAGTTTTTGTTGCTCGTGTTTATGCAACTGGTTAGCAATGCTGACACGTTTTGCTTTTATCGTTTGTTTACGGAACAGACAATAACATGCTAGTGTGCTTGATCAATGTGGCTTGACTTGATAAAGTAATTGCAAGGGGTGTAACAGACTTAAACGAACATTATCCGCAGAAGAGTTGCAGCAGCCGGTAAATTATTGATAAGTAGTTCGATACAAATGAGGAAAACACATTATTATTGAGGCAATATTAAATAGTATCACTTGGTGCACCTTTAATGCCGATGCTGTTGTCCAGTTTCGATTTAGAACGGTCACGCATCATGTGACGTTGACCATTTTTTTAAGTTCGCGTTTGTTCATGGAACATAAGCAGTGATTTTTTTTTGTTTTGTAACAAACAGAGATGGGTCGGTGTCTTTTTGATGCTGGAGGTAGCCGGTAAAGATCCCGTCGTCATGAAGTGGAGTTTAGTTCGGCTTGGATGTTTTTAATGTCCCTTTCAGCCATGTACTCATCAAGTAGATGCACACAGATAGCAGGAGATTGAAACAATTTTTTGGAACTGCACAACAAAAAAACATTCCTGATTTCATTGCTCAACGAGTCCATTTTTACTCCAAGTGCATTACCTCGTCCTTCTCTTTCGTGATTTATACACTTTTAATGAAAGTGGCTTTTTCTCAGTGTCTCTCCATTCGGTTCATTTTGCCTTTACATAAAATGCAGCCAAAAGATGTGGGCTAAATATTTTTTTTGTTCTATTCACGGCCTGTATATCCAAATACAAAATATAAAATGATGTTAAGCTTCTGGTGTGCAAAAGGAGGTGACTCGTGAAAGTAATTTCAAAAGTGGAAATCCACAGTACATCATTTTAACGCAGTGGTTCTTCTTAACCTCGGATGCACGCACCCTCTGGGGGTGCGAGATGCCCTTTCTGGGGGGTGTGAGACACGGACAGATTTTTTTCGAAGGTAAATAATCGAAAGACAAATTAAGCACGGGCACTAAGTACAACGACTTTGTTCCACCAAACCTATGTATTCATTAACGTTATACATTTTGTCACCATTGGCATCCGAAGGGGTGCAAGGCTGCAGTAAAGTTACTCTTTGGTTCTTTCGGTAAAGTCACGTATAAAGATAAAATAATGAATTAAATACTAGCATACGACGTTTCGATTGCAACACAAGCAATCATCATCATCAGGTATAAATGAAATAGAAACACAAATCTAGTCTACTTAGACATGTAATGTAATACAACAGAGAGTCTGATCTCATTTATACCTGATGATGATTGCTTGTGTTGCAATCGAAACGTCGTATGCTAGTATATAATTTATTATTTTATCTTTATACGTGACTTTACCGAAAGAACCAAAGAGTAATTCCTGCAGTCACGAAAGCTGCAGTGAAGGTTAAGAACCACTGCTTTAATGGGACCTGCCTCAGATGCACGTCTTATGGAATGTTGCCGTTTAAATATTGGTTTTGAAAACTATACATTCTTTTTTAAAATAAACTTCAATAAAGCCAACGTAACCGCTCCCATAAAGATAATAACATTGCAGATCACCCAATCCAATCGATCGTCGATATTTTCTCTTGAACACAATTTTTGGAAAAGTAACAACTTTCTTAGACGTACGTATGCACACTCTGTGGCCAATATTATGTTTTCAAAGAGGGTCTTTGATTGGGTTTTAATGCATTGCGTTTGCTTAAGCATCTCTCTGTACTTTTACCAGGGTTCTGAATGCTTTCTGGGACACGTGAGATTATGGCTGGCGTATTACATTCTGAATCGAGTTGGTTTGGAATTTCCAGAGACATCTTTTTACAAATTCAAAAGTAATTTGAAAAAGCAAAAACTCCATACTAGATATTTTTCACAAAGTAATCAACATTGTACTGTATTCTAGATTTGAAGCTTTCGTGACTGCAAGGAATCATACTCTTAGTTCTTTCGGTAAAGTCATGTAGGTAAAAAATTAAATTTAAATTAATAAAAAAATCACGACGTTTCGGAGGCAACACAAGCCTCCGTCTTCAGGTGAAACTGTCACAGCAAAAGTATATAAGGTCGTACCTCTTAGGACTTGTCTCCACTTGATGCAGATTTTTTGCTGTGACAGTTTCACCTGAAGACGGAGGCTTGTGTTGCCTCCGAAACGTCGTGATTTGATTGTTTTTATTTTTTTATTAATTTTAATTTCATTTTTTACCTACGTGACTTTACCGAAAGAACTAAGAGTATTGTACCGTATAACATGGATGTCCCGATTTGTTCCAGCTTCTTAAGGTTACTTATGTTTGTGTTAGCCTCACCAGCTAATTTCATGTATCGCATTTTTTTTGTTTTTGTTGCTAAAATGTGTTTGACAAAAAGAAATAGATGCTCTCTGAACTGTGGAAGCACAGGATACTGTGTTTTGTACAAAGGTTTAAATTTCACTGCTAATTTTATATAAAAAAGGTAATAATGAATAAAAAATTAAAGAGCAACAAATACCGAAAAAAACCAATCCCCTGAAAAACAATAACTTAAAAAAAAGAATAAACTATTTGATATACTGGAATGTGTCCTTGTGCGTTTATTTATCAAGGCCGCTAACCTTGCTTCTTGTGTTTTACCTAAGCAATCCATCTGACGTGATGTTTCCAGGTCGTACCGCGTGTTGTCCGGCACGATGTCCGATGTGTCGCTCGACGTGCTAAGAGTTTTGTGAACTGAAGTTTGCTTAACGCGGAGCGAATCGTCAGACATCGTGACGAACAACACGCGGCGTACGTCATCGGGATGCAGAAAAATCTACCCAGTCGCAGTCGTAACAGGGAATTAATTTACAAACTAAACCTGAACGTGTTTTTGTTTTATCAGGTAAGACCCACTAAGCTATAGAGCTCTTTTTTCACAAAATGACCTGACCCTATGATAGCTCAATAAAGTGGTTTATCATGTGGAAATGTATAGCAGCCAAATACTCTCAGCACATGTTTTTTTTATGTGGAGGGAAAAACTGGAGGACCCAGAGATAAACCCACGTGACCACAGGGAGTGCATGCAAACTCCAAATATACAGGTGTCAGGGTCGGCATCGAAGGCACGACTTCCTGTATACCAGGCGAGGTAGTTAACATGACATCGAAGGCACAACCTCCTGTATACCAGGCGAGGTAGTTAACATCTTGCCACCATGGCACCCGATTCTTAGGTTTTTTTCGGTAAAGTCACGTAGGTAAAAAATTAAAATTAATAAAAGTAAAATAAAATTCAAATAAAAAATAAAAATCACGACGTTTCGGAGGCAACACAAGCTTCCGTCTTCAGATGGAACCGTCACAGCCACGACAGCTGTATCAAGTAAATGAGAGATTACAAGAGCTACCACTCCGTATATATAATGGTTGAGGGGGGAAGGGCCCGGAAAGGCACACTTTTTATTAATATGGTAAGGTGAGGCTTAAGACTAAGAATAGACTGCATAACAAAAGACTGCTCAGTGGCTAGAGGAAGGGGGATTTAATAAACGTGCCCCTTTTTACAACTGACACCCCGGAAGATCAACTGCAACCAGTGACCTCTGGATTGCAAGTGCGGAATGCTACTCAGTACACCGTGGCACCACCACGGTGGGGAGATGTTTTTGCAACATGTGCTTAACTGATGAGCAAAAAACCACTTCAGACATCACGTATAGCAGGCTCATATTATAAACATCACCAGAAACACCGCGATGACTTGTTCAAAATTGTTATTTTCCACATTAGTCAAAAGTACGTGAAAATACTGCCGAATAACAACACATACTACTCCACAATATGCTTTAATTATTATTATTATTCTTGTGCGGCAGTGGCAATCCTTACCACATTGTTCTGACTGCATTTAGTTCGTGTGAATCAATGCTCAGCTATCTCATGCTCGGAGGAATTCTACTTAGGATGCTGCTTTAGAGCAATGACCAGAGAGCCGGCCATGCAACATGAATTAATAAATGTACCACCTGCTGCATATCCTGAAATGTGTTATTCATGGTCAGGAGCAAACAGGCCCTTTGAGGAAAGAGTGCTGCTGGATTTAAGATATTGCACTGCTTTTGCAGACGACAAATAATTCACAGTTCTGCATGCGTCGGGACGAGCTGCAGCCAAACTGAATGAGCAGTCACCTGAACTCGTTTCGAACTATTCGCACTACATTTTCAATCAAACCTATCACTCAGAATGCGCCCCAATGTTAAATTTCGATTTAAAGCTTTCGTGACTGCAGGGATTCATCTTCTTGGTTTTTTCGGTAAAGTCACGTCGTGAGAATTATTTTATTATGTTTTATTTTTATTATTTTATTACTTCCCTTCTACGTGACTTTACCGAAAGAACCAAGAAGACGCCCCAATGTTGTCAAATCTCACAAGCTTAGCAGTTTGGAGCCTGGTTAGTGCTTAGATGGAGTGACCACAAGTGTTTTCGGGGAGTCCAGAAAATCCCGTTATTTTTTGTAGTATGTATGTTAAACTTTTTTCACACCGTACGTAGCCAACCATGCTAATCGAAGAGCGTTCCAGACGGCCGCAGAAAACGCATCTGACAGAGCGTGATGCGGTGAAAGTATTCTCCCACATTTATGCTCTCCTGCCTTCACCAACCGGAACTGACCATCGCAAGGATAAACAACAACCCCCATAACCCACTCGGTGTGAGGCTCTCATCGAGAATCGCAGTAACACACAAAGGGTTGTGCATTTACATTCGCGATGCACGAAGAGCCCCTTTCGTGAAAACCGCAGCCACATGCAGTTGACGTGCATCATCCTCGTCCGCCGTGCGTGGAGTCCATATCATTAGGAGTATAAAAGAAGAAAAAATTAACCCGTAAAAACAACGTTTTTAACTATAAATCCTTTATATGCGTGGCGGCTAGAGTCCTCTCGTCCTCTGGCTTGAGATGGCTGCCACCTATGGGTCAGATGATTGCCTGCCACTATTAAGCAATTGGTAATTAAATATAATTTATTTTTTCCAAAAAAATGTCTAATTTTGAAAAAAAAAATTCACGAAAATAAATTGTCACGCACAACGAGTCTGTGTGCAAAATGTCAGCTCGATTGGTCACGGGAAGTGGGTTAAAAAACGACCGAAAGATTTGCACGGTCGTAAGCGTGCAAGCAAGTGAACTTAATATAAAGGATTTTAAAAA